TCTTTTTCTTTTGTTGATAACATCTTTAATTATGCTACATTGTAATAGGAGTAATTTTGTTAGGAAAGGTTGTATGTTTTATGACCCTGAACATAAATTTACTGTGGATGACTCTGAAATCAGTGCACTTTCAATAGATCTTAGTCTTGAAATTACTTCCTCTTTTAATTTAAACCACATTTTTAAGTTGAAATTTTGACCAGACTTATTATGATACTAATGCATTAAGTGTATTGTATTGTAAAAGATTCCCTTTTGTTCATATAACCTTTAATTATTATTCCTAAATGTTTGACCTCTGTATTTCTTGAAACAGGTTCCATCAGTAAAACAATTATCAGTCTGAAGTTATTTTATGAGATGAAATGCATTACTCAGGAGATTTTCCACTTTGTCGTTCTCTTCCCAACTCTTATATAGATGTGTATGTCATATCTTTAAAGCAATACAAATTGAGATAGATGCCTTCCAAAAGCTAATCAAATTATTAAAAAAGAGGAAAGCTTTGTTAGAAACAAAGAAAATAGTACAGAACTCTTACTTAATATCAGTCTTCCTGTATGTCAGTGAATGCTGGACAATTTCCTTGAAATAGCAGAAATGTGGTTCTACAGAAGGATGCTGAGAATACCAGAGACCAAACATTTTGAGCAACGATGCAGTTTTAGAGAAAATGGAAACAAAAAGGACACTTGTACTTCACATCAGAAAGTTGAAATTTCTAGGGCAAATAATGAGAAAAGAGGACTTGGAAAATTTGATACTCACAGGACAGATTGAAGGCAATTTAGACAGATGAAAACAGCACATAAACTACCTAATGAGCTTGTGTAAATGGATGATTTAGGGGAGATAACAAAAAGAAAAAATGTACTAAGAGCAAAAAAATACAAAATTGTGGAGAGCCACGATCGTCCAAATCTTGACTGGACACAGTACATAAAAGAATAATAAAATCATATTTCTACCATATATAAATTAAATTACATATTTTTAGTACATTTAGGAGTCATTTAAATTTCCTCCTTTGTCTCTTTTCTTTATTTGGCAAAAGCTTTAAATTTTGTTTTTGTTTTTAAGATCCAAAAATCTTGGATCAGTCTAAATTTTAACAAGACTTAAGCTGTTTCAAAATGCTATAAAAGTATATGGATAATATTTGATACTGTTCAAGAAGTGATGAGAATAATAATCATGAATTTACAAAAATGATTTTCCCTTTCAAAAATGTTTTTGTAAAAGTATTTTTGTAACAATACTTGTTCATTATTACATCATCAAAAGGTAAAGAGATGGTTACTTTTGATCCCTTCTTATCAATGGACAATAGCATTTGTGTTATATGAGCAAATATGAGACAGAAGTAAGCTTCCATTCTAACAGATTTTCTTTATCATAAAAGTCACCTATTATATGCAGATGGTAGCCATCAGCAGAAAATTCCACATCAAACTGCTGTGAGGCAAATAGAATTGAATCAGCCAACTGAAGTTTGTATCAAAGATGGAATTTTTTTTTCCTTTTCCTTTCATTATTCAGAAACTATTCATACATGGAACCCAGATAAAAAAAAAATGTTTATTACAGAATACTAGAATTAAAATGTTAAAATAAGAAACAAAAATAAATATGTTAATTAAAATTTGAAAAACTTATATATTATTTTTTTTAATTAATGAAGTATTATTAATGATTAATGTTAGTATTTCTTGTATCTTAAATTCACTTGCTTTTTATAGCAACATTCAGTTAATCATCAACCAAAATCAGAAAATTTATTCTATAATTCCAATCTGCATTTCTTACTGATGGTTGTAGAATGGCAGTCTGAGAGTTGAAATAAAAAGAAAATGAAATTAAAATGTGTAGAGTAATTGGCATATTTAAGTAACAAAATGCTCAAGAAATTGAACTGACAAAGTTCCCAATAGGCAATAAGAAAAGGAAGGAAAAGAATGATAATAATAAGTACACAATATATATACAAGTCCAAACTAGGCAAAGTAACAGTAATAAGGTAAAAAGTTCACAAAGTAAGTATTGTGTTCACATACAAAAGGGATACAGTCAAGGGATTATAGCATTCTGACTTCAAGACAACCAAGAGCAAATATATGTTGGATGAGACCAAAAATTGGTCCATTTTTATTGGTTAGGAAGAAATCCTTGCATACATCTGTAGGATTTGTTTATAAATATGAAGAGGAGTGATGAAAGACATACATATTGAAAAATTAATAATAACATAAATATTATGAATAAATTGCCTTTTAAAATGTTTATTTTATTTATCTTAACAATAGGAAAGAAAAACAAATGACACATAAAAATGGTTTAAACTTCAGTTCTAAATTTCAACTGACTGAAAAAGACATTACACATTTAATGATTAGCTGATCTAATTTTTGGATTTATGTTTAAAACTTTTGACTTCAGTCAACCCAAGTTTAACCAATTTTTATTGAAAGTATCTGATTACATATGCTGCTTGTCCTTTAAATGTAAGCATGTACATATCGCATAATTCATTTGCTCTCCTCAAAAATTATAGAGTTACTAATATTGGCTGAGTATACGTTAATTTTAGGTCAGCAAATAGTCAAGAATAAAACCTAAGCACATACTAGATACAAGAATAAATATAAGAAACAGCAGTAAACTAAATGGTAATTTGTGATACCAGTTTTTCAAGGTTATGAATTTATCAAGGGAGATAATTTAAACTGATTTGAAAGTAATTTAAAATATTAGGTTGACTCATAAGCAATTGATATTTTTGGAAATGTAATTGCAGTGATAAATGTATCATTGTACCTACTAATCATACACCCCAATTAAGAATATATTTGGATTACCCAAGTGGCAAACATACATCTGCAATATTAATCCCAAAAGCTGACCACCATGAAAAAATAATAATATTATGTGTGTGGTGGGATCATCATCCATTTCTTCTTCTTTATGTCCTCTCAAGACGTAGGTAATCATAGCTCTCTGCAATTATCTGTCCTTTGTAGCTCTTAATAAATTTTTTTTGTTATCTCTCCTAAACTTTGTTGCACCATCCATTTACTCAAGCTCATTCTTTTTCTATGTACTGTGGCCCTTCAATGTGTAAGCAATCACGGCTCTCCACAATTTCCCCTTCCTTGGTAGCTCTTAATAAATTTTGTCTTTTTATTATCTCTCCTAAATCTTGCTCTGTCATCCATTTACTCATGCTCGTTCTTCTTCTATGCACCATGGCCCTTTATGTTGTAGGCGGTCATGGCTCTCCACAACTTCCTGTCCCATGTAGCTCTTAATAAATTTTACCTTTTTGATATTTCTCCTAAACCCTGTTCTGCCATCCATGTTATATACTGTTTACCACTGTCCTTCTTGCTTTTAATCTGGCATGTGAGTAATAGAACTTCCAAACCTCCTTAACCCAACCTTTTTTATGATTTGTAAGAAGTTTCTGGCAGTAGGTAGCATCATTTTTTTTTACTATTCTTCTTGGTAAAATTCCCATAATTGCTCAATATTACCTGGGATCCTTGCATGTACTGCCATCTTTCACTTGAATCACTTCAATTTTTCAATTGGGTTTAGATCAGTACTTTGACTAAGCCATTCCAAGGCTGTAAATTTTCTTATTCAAAACCCATTCTTTTGTAGATTTGCTTTGATGCTTCAGATCACTGACCTAAACCTAACTTTCAAGTCAAGGGCAAGACACTTTCTATCAAAATTGCTTGGAAATTTTGCAGACTCAATTGTGCCCTCAATGTGTATTATTTTGCTGTTCCAGCTGCCGCAAAATACCCCCAAATCATAATGTTATCACCACCATGTTTAATGGTTGGTAGCAAATTCTTCTCTTTAAAAGTATGCCAGATATATCACATATTGTTCCTCCCAAAATGCTCTATTTTGACCTCTTCTGACCATAAAACCTTTCACCAGAATATTTCTAGCTTATTACTATGGCATAGTTGAGGTGAGCATACATGTGCTATTTCATAAGTAGTGGCTTTTCCTAGACATTCTGCCATGAAGATTGACATTGTTCAGATTTTTTCACATGGTAGATGGTTGCACATTGATTCTGACATTGGCCAGTGAACATTGGAGAACTGCTAAGTTCACAGCAGGATTTGCCTGGGCTTGCCGAACTAGATGTCTACTTGCACTTGCTGTTATTTTTTTGCAGACTGCAACTTCTTGATTATGATGCCATCATACCAAAAGCCTTCCATTTATAAATAATTTGTTGCACCATGGAGAAGTGCGCCCCAATTAATTTTTCATGCAATGTTTTAAAGCTTCATGAAGTTTCTTTTGATCTTTGCATTTATTATATTTTTTAAATTTAGTTTCTAACTGCACACTTTTGCTTACACAATAAGTTATATTGTTTGACTGCTTTATATGCAGCTTGTAAGGGTTCCCTTATTTTTGCACATTTTAATTTTTAATTAATATTTTTATTCAAGCTTGATAAAATCTTTGAAAGTGGTTGTAATTCATTTAATAAAGGTTTTTCTTAATGAATATATAGTTTAATAAAGATTTGTTAATTATCTGGAAAAAAAAAAGAGACAATTTTTTTAATATTATCTTAGGTATTCACTTTTGCACAGCACTGTAATCATATGCATAAAATATATTTTCAAAATATATATATACATATACATATATAAATATACATAAAACAACCTATAATGTTTTGTGCCCTTTTAAATTTACTATGAAATAAATATCAGCACAATGAGTATTCTTATTACTGTGATGAGAAGGCAATGATAGAAAAATATAAACGAAAGTAATTCTTCTCTCAGTGGCTCTATATCCCCAAAGTAATCCAAGTGAAGGACCAATGATTTAAGCTGGCGTGTGTGTGTCAGACCTGTCCACCTTGGGTGGCCCTACCAGGAACAAAGTTCCAGGCGGCATAGCTCTGACACTACCGTTTACACCCCCCCACCGACTGTGAGGTAAGGGTTGGACTTTGGGGGCTTACAGTACCAGGTGTTCCCAAGCGGTCCCCCATCTAATTACTGACCTGGCTCTACGATGCTTAACTTCGGGCTCTGGTGAAAATCCAAGGAGCGTCTGCATCGGTAACTGGCGGCTTCTGGTCGTTCCTGTCTCTGCGTCTGTGGGAATCCCGCGGCAAGCAAGAACGTTATCCGAGTAGGCCTGGGTACCCTACTTCTGTAATTTATCCCAAGAATCTTCTTCTCATAACAGGAAGAAGCCGGTTCAATCCACCCAGGGTGAATGCCGCATCAGTACAGTACAGTACAGTAGTACAATGATTTAAGGAGGTCATAAGCCATGACTATGTTCATTTTACTCCTCATCAAATGACCTCTGAGATAATTAAAGAAATATTTGTGATGGTTTCCAGGGAACATACAAGCAACAGTGAACCAGAGAGTGTTTCGTGTCACTGAAGGCAGTAGTAAAATTTGTTGGCCATCTAAAACATTGCAAAATTGGACAACAAAATATACAGAAAGATTAAAATTACAGCTATTTATTTTGTTTTGATTGAACACACAAAAAAATAACAACAAATGCAACAGCAAAATAAGATGGAAAAACATTTATAAATAATTAAAAAAAAAGGGTTTTCCAGTGATAATTTTTAGGATAAAATTTTGTTTCATTAACACCATGAAAAATCAAATAAAAGTAACTGACTCATAGTAAAATGAGTTAATGTCAAAGTCACTGTCTTTATGTTCTGTGTCCCCTCAGGATGTAGGTGAGCATGGCTCTCCACAATTTCCTGTCACTTGCAGCTCTAAATAAATTCTGTCTTTTTGTTATTTCTAAATCCTGTTCTGCCATCCCTTTTCTGCTCATCAAGTATATTATTCATTGTTTTTCCTCTGTCCCTCTTATCCTTAATCTGCCCTGTGTGTAACAGATTTTCCAAGCCCTCCTTCTTTATTATGCGTCCCAAAAATTTCAACTATCTCAATCTAATGTTAAGTATAAGTGTCCTTTTCATTTCCATTTTCTCTAAAACTTCATCATTGCTCACATGTTTTGCTTTTGCTTGGGAAAGGTATGAATTCTCTTCTTCTCCCCCCCCACCCCACCAGCTATGGGTAAATAACAGGAAAAACCAGGTTCTATAGCCTTGGATGGCAACTGGTGTAGCACAGAAAAAATGGCAACCTACTGTGAGAAATACTCTGCCTCGTCAGTCATGTATAGAAAGATACATGATCGCCTAAGCATGTATCCTGCTTGGCACATAACCGACTGAATACTCAGCTTAGGTTTTGGAACGCATCTTCAGATTTCAGTGTCACATTTTCCATCCTTTGTTAGAATACTTTGCAATAATTAACCCATTTAAACATGAAATGTATTAGAAAACATACATGGTACATGTGCATTTTACTTCTTTATATTAAGTTGTCACCCCTCCCACCTCCTGTAGGACCACCAATGCATACCAGTTTTTCTATCATAGTAATAATAAGCTTTCTTTAGAAACTATTGAAAATTTTTTCAGCAAAGTTAATAAAAATGTTTATTCTTCCTTTAAAGTTGTTATTTAATACACTTAAGAATCATACTCAAGCAACATTGTTGTTGTTCTGTGACCCTTTAATTTCTCACATTTCTCTTGCTTCCGTTTTCTCTTCATCCATGGGGAGATTATCCAACACTTACTGCCATGCATGGATATCACATAGCAAAACAGAATTTGTTTCTTTGTTTTAAATAATTTTTTTCTGTTTGTGAGTACTTTAAGATTCTTGGAATGCATCTTTTGCTAATTCAATACATTTGGATTTTATTGTTGTATTTTCCATCCTCTGTTAAAACACTCCCAAAATATTTAGACAGCTGTACTTGTTTGATGTTTACATCTCCTATTTTTAGCTTGCATCTTGGTCTTTTCACCATTGTTGCATTTTGTGTTGTCTCGGCATCCCTACGCTACTAAATAAAATGGTATCAATGAAAAAGGTCATTTACTTTTGGAATTCATTTTATTAATAGTAACAGCTTAGATTCCAAGAGACGGTAGGAGGACTGATGTCATCAGAACACATGTTGTACATTGGCCCAGTGTCCCTCCACAGGTGGTATTAGCTGGTTGCAAACCTAGGTGTGGGAGACATCTTGATGCTTCAAAACACTTGAGACACTTTGTTGAATTTGCACTGTTTTGGACATATTCAAAACCCAGACAAAGGCAATCCATCACTGTCAGAATGCCCCACCCATGAGTCACACCGGACAATTGCTAACCATTCTGGCCCTGGCCTTTGCATTCTGTAACACCCTACTTTCTAGAGTTTTGCAGTTGATGGTTTGCTTTCTTCTACAACCCTGTCTGGTATGTCTTGTAGTTTTCTTTCTCTGTCTGTCATCAACACAGTGTCATCTGCATATCTTATATTGCTAAGATTATGCCACTATTCTGGTAAGGTCTTTATCTCCCTTAGTAGAGCCTCTCTGTACAGGTTGAATAAATCTGAGGAGGAGATACATCCTTGTGTGGCACAAGGATGTATCCCGCCCCTTTTCTATTTTTGTGCTGCTATTTAATTAATTTTCTATTCTAATTCAGATGGTTTGCTCCAAGTATATCTTTCCCCTTGACATGCATACAACTTAGTGTCAAAGGCAGAGAAGCAAGTTTTTTTAATGATAAATAGTCATTTGTTCTCCTGCATAAGACAACAGGTTATTAAAGCAGTTGAAAGTTATGGAAAAGTAAAAGATTTTAAATACTTTATGGAAAAATTAAATAAAACCAATAAATAAAATAAGAAAAAAGAATAATTAAATTCATTTTCCCATGATGTAAGTTATAAAAGAACTGGAAAGAGTTTCTGGTCACATGTGCGATTTTATGATCACACTTTCTCTTTCTTCTCTTGGTTTCAAGATGTGAACCATGAGGTAATAGCATTCCTATTGGATAATGTTAGTTTCTCTGGTCCACTGACAAATGAACTCTTTCCACTTACCAATGATTTTGTAGGACATGTTTTAGCAACTCATGAAGTAGAGATTCAGTTTTCCCAACTCAGTGCAAAGCTGACTTGAGCTCAATCAGCTTTACTCATTCATATCCTTACTTCCCATGAATTATTTCAGAACCAAAAAGAAAAATGGACATACTTGGTCTTCCCAACTCAGCATGAAGCTAACTTGAGCTTGACCATCTTTACCCATTTCTATTTTTACTTCCCATAAATTATTTTTAAACCAAAAAGGAAAACGTACATACTCAAGGGACCTTTTAACTTTTTTCAATGCAGTCGACATAAAAGAAATAAATGTTTAGATCAGAAACGTTTTTGTATGCTTCTTCTATCTTCTCTGTTTATATATTGAACACACACCTTCACCTAAAAAATACACACAAAACTCACAACCTTGTTAACATCCACAACTTCAAAAACTCTGTGAAGAAAAACTGTTATTGGAAAGTAGGTTATGCATGCATGAAAAAGAAAGTTATCACTTCACGGTTCAATAATTGTGATTCTGTTTGAAATATTTATAGTCATGGCTTGTTTGAAATTATTACAAAGAAGTGATAAGTCGTTCACAGTCTGAGCAGGAAGCCCTTTTAAAATAAAATCTGAGGCTTGGTAATTCGGTTATATATTGGGATGTGGGTCAGCTTGAGAATTTTTCAGCACTCCCTCATAAAAAATGAAGCTGCAAATATCAAAACATATTCTACTAAAACAGTTTTCATGTTTTTATCTTCACAGTCAGCATAACATTAAGGTATTTTTTTAAAAAACAAAGTCAATATAATATCAGGATAGTTTTGAATAACAAAACTATTCTTTGCAACCTCTTCGTAAAACTCCCTGTGAGACAAATAAAGTAAAAAATTATGCATGTGATATCCAGTGTAATTGTAAAGAAAAATATAAAGAAAGAAACTATTTTCTAAGAACTGGATATGGGGAAAAAAAGCTACAGTTCAATGTGAGTGTGAGATAAGGTATAGCAGATGAAGTATTTAAGAAGAGAACATATGGGCAGTCATTTAGAATAGAGCCAAAACAAATGGTAATGATAATATTAGCAGTTTCCTTATAAGGAAACATTTAGCATTCATTGACCAAACAGCCAATGCTATGTTCAGTAGAAATTTATAAAATCTTTCTATAAAAACAATTTTTCAGGAAAATAGGTTTCTCAAGTCCACTAAATGTTATAGCTCTTTATTATGATTGTATTGATAGTCAAAACACCAGAAAAGTATAAAAATTTTATATATCAGGAGTTTATATATCATTAAACAAACAAATTTTATATATAGGAGTTTATATATCATTAAACAAACAAATCACTATTGATGGAGACTTCCTTCCTAACCTTTTGTTTGAAATAGTGTGGAATGTCAATATCTTGATTATGTCATTATTTTCTTGTCGAGTTACATATGCTATCCATTTTAGTTGTTGAAGGTCCTCAAGTGATGTAGCTTCTGTTATCTGGTACAGTTCTTTGCGTTGGTGCCAGTCCACAAAGTTTGAAGGATGGTCCTCACTAAATTTACAGATTTTATTTGCTGAAAGCCATTTTAACAATTAATCTAAGAAAGTGGTTGTATGCAGCTCACAGTTTGATATTTTTGAATGAGTTTGATGCCAGGCATGACATCTGTATGAAAGTCATGAACTGATGAGGCTATTTTTTAAATTAATGTTTTGGTTTTGTAGCAGTTTGTGGTGTTGGGTAAAACTAGCACAAAAGTTTGTTAAAATGTTTGGAACTTCCACCAAAAAATTTAAATAAGAGTTATTTATCAATACATTAAAAACAGGCATAAATAAGGAAAACAAAAAGCAAGCAAGACAAAATATATAATTACTGTAAATAAATAAAAACATTTTTAAAAGAACTGATAAATCTTTTAAAATAACCTGTTGGATCTTATACTTTAATTTAAAATGAAAATTTAATTTTCAAATCAACTCAGGTAAGTATGTAGAGGGTACATTTTATTATTGCAGTAAAAATAGACATGTTGTTTTTTTAATCATTTCACCCCAAGTAAGGTGATAATGCCACAGACATACAGGAAA